CGTGGAGTTGTTATCTTGATGGTCAAGTTAATTATTAACTCGGGAGCGTCGGGTATCCTGCGCTGTACCATCTCGTGGGTTACCGTGTGCGACGGGCTTAATTGAAAAATATTTTTTTTGGTGTATTGTGCTGCGAGGTGCTGTGTGCGATGCGGTTGTTGCAAGAGAGAGAATATTTGTGTTGTTGCTGCAAAGTTACGATAGGATTAATGGTGTGTTGGTTGCCTGCAGATCTGCTTGCTATTGTGCTTAAATGTACGCGTGTGATCGCGATATGCTGACTGCATGTGCTGTTACACCGTTCTGTACGGTTATGGGGTGCGATGCAGTGGTTGACTATTGGGGTTGAGATTGTTATTATTTGTGCGTACCTGTTTGGAAATTGGTAACAAATTCGAGGGGGACCCAAAAATTTGGTTGTATGGTTGTTGTGCACACGAGATTGCGTGTATATTATAGAGGGGGACCCTAAAATTTGGTTGTATGGGTGTTGTGCACACGAGATTGCGTGTATATTATAGAGGGGGACCCAAAAATTTGGTTGTATGGGTGTTGTGCACACGAGATTGCGTGTATATAATAGGGGTAATTGAGCTTTTTGAAAATGAGGGTGCGCGATGACGCCGTTGTGGGTGGCTCAGATGTTAAGGGTGATGGGACCGTAAATTGGCGCCAAATGGCGTCGCTCATTCGGTTGATTGCATGCAGCCAGGAGTTGCTTGCGGGTTGGTGTGTGTAACCAATGTGTTTTGGTAAAATATTGGTTAAAAATTCCCCGATATGACTGCTGTGCGCAGCAAGCTGGGGCTGTGCGTCTATCGTTGGTGGGGTTGTTATAACGTGACGGGGGATGCGTCTTGTGACCCCCAGCAAAGGGCAGCTGGGGTGCACGCACGGAGAAAACTGGCCACGTGTTCGCACGTTGGGCCGCCATTTTGCGCGCACGCGGGGTATGGCGACGATACGCTTTGCGCAAAGGGCCGCCATTTTGAGTGCGCGCGAGTTATTGCGAGAACGCGCTTGGCGAAGGGGGCCGCCATTTTGAGCGCGCGGGAAAAACCGCGGTGGGGCAAATATTCCATCTGTTATGCCTGCCATTGTTGATTGGGTGATGCACGAGTTGTGGTCACATCGGCCTATGGCTGATGGCTGACCTGACAGCCCGGAGGCGAATCCTCCGTGGTATGTCTTAAACTAATGGGCCATGTGCTCATATGGCTCGGGGAGTCATGGTTCAGTTGTGCGGTGGCAGACTGAACCTGGTGTGCCGGGGGCTCACGGGATCTGGGTTAGGGTGTTATTGTCTCTATAAGAGAACATTGCCCCATGGGGGGAGTCCATGGGGTCTGGCATTGCCGGGGGATGAACCTTCCCTGGGCTATAAAGCATCAGGCTATACGAGGCTGGTGTGTGTCCATCTCTGATGGGATAGTAAGGGAGGAGCATGGCCGAGTTGCTGCTCATCCCCGAAATTGCACTAGCCGAGAGTATGGTCAGTGGATGTTGCTGTGGTTTGACGACCACGGTGAGGGTTAGCTCAAGTTAAACGTTACCGCTGGGGTGCGTGGCTCTCTCCACGCGAGGGTGTGCGACTAGGGGTTTTGTTGAGAGTGACCATGGGTACATGCTGTGTACGTGTGATGTCTGTGCTGGTCCTCAAGGGAGGACTGCTGGTGGGCAAGAGCTGGAAATTTTGTTGTGTTGTTGTTGTCACGTGTAAATAATATTGTTGTTAAAATGTAAATACTGGGGCATCCATTGCGTCTATTTGGGTATTTATGGGGGTTTTCTTAAGCGGGCCGGATTTACATCATCTCCACTACCCTGGGGCCGGGTGGCTGTCGTGTACGACATGTGGATGTGCGTTGTTGTGCTGTGCCTCAGGGGATTGGATTCTCCTTCTCGTCACAGATCTTCAGTGCCTGCCACACTGGGTGTTACCTGGTGTGCTAACTGGATGAGGACTTGAAGGAGCGATTGAGCGCCCGTTCGTCATTCCTGCTCTACCACTTGCTCTTTGACGTTGGACTTGGGCCGAGCGGATGGAACTGCAACATGGACACGCACTAAAACATCACATTCCTGGGTTGTGCGCGTCGGCCGTTCTTGCGTGTCAGTTGCCGTTGTTGTGCATTGTGCCATTCTTATTCTTGTTGTTGTTGCGCGGAGGACAGGCCGGTGTTCTGTTCCAGTTCCTGATACCTCCCCTTTCGTTACTTGTGTTGTTGTTCTTATAATCTCCGTTGTGTCTGGGGGACTCCTGATTGTGATGCCTTCGCCCGCATTATTTTGTTCTGTTTCAGCTGAGGACGGCTGGAATTTTCTCTACGGGGGAGGGTGGTGTAATGCGGGCGTAAATGGGCGGGGCGGATATGACGATCCGAGAGGGAGGAGTCAGGGTCACGTGGGGGAGAAGTTATAGCGGGGAGACAGGAAGCCATCTGGGTCAGTCGGGGGAGTGAAGGGTGGTGAACACGTTGGGTGGTCGCCGTGCCTCAGCCTGGTGGCTGAGGGGCTCATGACGGCGCCAGCCAGCGGGGTGGAAGAGAGTTGGGGATAGAGCAGAGAGTGGCGAGATAGCCACAGAGGCCACGCAGGGCTGAGGTTGGAGATGGCGAGATAGCCACAGAGGCCACGGAGGGCTGAGGTTGGGGAGTGGCGAGATCGCCACACACGGTAAGACTCGGCACCGCCGGCCAGCGGTGACCGAGCACGGAGGAACAGGGAGCAGCGGTGGAGCTGCTGTGAGAGCAGCCAGAGGGCTGCACCAAGAGCCTGCAGCGGAGCTGCAGGAGCGCGGAAGGCTACGGGAGCGAAGGCAGCTGCGGAGCTGCCAGGCAGAGAGTCTCAGGAGGAGTGCCGTGAGGGAAAGAGAACGCGAACCCAAATAAAGGACACGGAGTCAGAGAGAAGCGTCCGAGTCTTTTATTACACTATGAACACTCCTTCCCTTTCTTAATGCTACCTATATCCCCTCCCTTTGATGCTGCTAATCCTGCATAATGCACGGGCATAAGTAGTACTAATCACATACCTGCATTTCCCATATCCCCTCCCTTTGATGCTGCTAATCCTGCATAATGCACGGGCATAAGTAGTACTAATCACATACCTGCATTTCCATAAATATGCTAAATTCCTCTTGATATGCATATTCTTTTGTCAAGGCGCCCTCTCCCCCCCTTACAACCCAGCTTATATATATGCTCCAAGCACGTGTGCTGTTTCGTTCAGACGCTGTCGCCTCGACAGACCTGGTTTTCACCTGAGGACGGCTGCTTGCGTTGTGGCCGAAACGTTGTGAGAGTTATTTTATTATGATTTATTTTTATTATTTTATTACTTCCCTTCTACGTAACTTTACTGAAAGAACCAAGAAGATGAATCCCTGCAGTCACGAAAGCTTTAAATCGAAAACTACCATCTATATCGGTGATGTTTGACCTACCTCATGAAGCCCATAACAACATTGTTGACATCCCTAACTTCAGTTCTCCATTGCATGCCTCCATCCTTAAATATTTGTAGGCAGAATGAAAATATGCCATCTGTGCTCAAGATGGCTTGGAATGTGTTTGTCTGAAAAGTAAACAAATATAAATCCATGCGGAATGGATATCAAATGGATATGATTCCAAACAACATGCAGTACGACTGAGAGATGTATATTGACATTCAATTTGCTTAGAGTACACATGTGATTGTGGTTGGATACAATTTTACAGTAACAAATATTGAAGATAAACATGTAAATGCTTATACTATTTAGGACTTCGTGAGAGAAGATATAAAAACTCACTTTAGTTTCAAAGTTTTTTGGAAGGTACTGATTGAAGAATGTAGTGAAGTACAGTCAAGTAATTTCCATGGCATAGTCAGATAAAATGTGTCAATCCTGCAGGTGTATGCCAAGTTGCACCCCACATGAGGCATGGACAGGAAGGTCTGAGAGTTATGAAGTCAAGTTAAAATAATTTGACTCGTGTATGGGCCTCAGCGGGGACAAATAATTATCTGGAATGCAGCAGTGTTGCATTGTAATCCGAGTCCAAACAAAAAATTGCTAAACACCATTGCAGTGCCATGCAACCCTATCCAGAAAAAAATAACTCAACGGGATCTGAAATATGAGCTGACCGTAAACATCTCGTGACATCTATTTATAACCTATGCATAAGTGGCACTTTTACGAATATTCTTTTTCAATTTCCATTTCCAGAAATACAATTTTCTTTTAAAATACATTTTGTTTCAAATAACTATGCAATGCTTCACCACGGTAAGGGGATAGACGTTGGTGAGTGTGCTTCACTCAAGACCTGGCAAAGTGCATTAAATCCCCACCCATGGCTAACAACAGTTACGAGAGATATCTGAACCAGTCTTGTCCCCCCCTCCACCACCAACCTCACAAACTCAAACCGACCAGCATGGTGAAGCATGGTCTTAACAACTCCCATAACTGACGAGGTGTGGGGAGGCCTTGCGTGGCATTCATGGCTTAGTATGGTGTGACGGCATGTGCCTGAGTATGTGATGGATCGTGCCTCACACCCGATAGACCCGGAACCCACTCGGGTCCAGGTCACTTGGACATTTCAAGTTTACTTTATGTCTGCTGCAGTAACATATTGCCGGGACAAGATAATGTGCGAAACCAAAACAAATAAAATAAAATAAAATAATTACGTAACTGTGATTTTTTTTTGTGATGATCAAATCCCATTAAAGTTCAATACAGTTATGATTGACTAACATATATCAAATACGTATTGTTATTAGATGAGATATATTTTTTTGATGCCCCAAAAATCAAGCAACATTTGATGAAATAAAATCATTATTTGCGAGATTTGTTTTGTATACTTAATACCTACACATGCACACACACAAACCATTTATTGAAAAATGCAATAAAAATGTAAAAAAATTATGAAGTGACATTAAAGTATGACCTGGAATTGATTAGCTAAATATTCTTACATATCTGCCATTGTTGCTTGCTGGCACAGCAGGAGCTTCCTCCCAGGTGATCTTTAACATCCAGGTGGGCACATAGTTTTGTATATCCGACATAGAGCTGAAGTTGGCTCGGACCTGGGCCTGCACCTTGTCACGGAGCTGTTTTGCATCTTGGCTCGGGTTGCCCACAGTAAAGTCATACTCCTGCAAAATGGAAGCAATGTTGTTTGAGGTGGAGAGACGAAGCCCAACATTTACTCCAGCAATACATTTATGTTAGGTTTGCAAATGTGTGCATTCACGTGAAAGCTATATATATTTAATGCACGGAAAAATAAATCAAGTGGAAATGGGCAGGACACATCATGACAACAATTGATGAGTGATAGAGGAAATTAACTACATAGTGCATACTGAAGAGAAGGCAATCGAAAAAAAAGAAAGATGGTGAAAGAGATGGCGAGACGAAATAAAAGAGTTTGGAGGCTCACTACTTAACAACCGAGGAAAGGAAGGAATGAAAGAAAATGGGGCAGACCTTTGCCCAGGAGTGGGTAGTTACAGGCTAACAACAATAACAGCAACTGGATACAAAGGTGTCGATGGCTTTTACACTCTTCAGCGTACAGCACACATACCTGGTAATATATTTTTCCAATGCCGGATGAGAAGTCACAATCGTCCCAGAAAACTGCAATCATGGGAGTATAGTACCACCATGAATTTCTCGTTGGATTGGGATAAGCAAACTTTGATTGGTCTTCGTTTTCTTTGAACACAATCAACCCGTTGTCTGTGAACTGGATACCACACGCACAAACGTGCATCAATTAAAATATCTGAGCATCTTAAATGACAGAAAACAAATGCACGAGTGCCACTTTTGCACAATTCAAATAAGACAACAAAGAACTGACCATTACACAAATTAGGCAATATGAATAATTGCACAAATTAGGCAACCTCACAATTAAAATAAAAAACTACTTCGACATAGTGAGTGTAATATTGAAGACAATTATCTATAGCTTCATAAAAGTTGTTTTATTTATTGAACAAGTCAACGGTTTTTTGGTTTATGTGAAACTGCATGCACCATCGCCATTTTAGCATGGATTAAAATCAGTTTTAAAATCAGTTCCTGTATGTGTGTACATCCAACACCGTGATGCTTCATGAGAATTTCTCCTTCATCAAGATAATTGGACGAATGATTGATTTTTCATTCTAAATGGTGGACGTACCATGCCCAATTAAAAGCTCCTTAATTATTATACAAATGATTTCCCACATCTTTAAAGTGTATGAAACGTATCCATGAAATTATTAAAATTCAAAGCCCATATTACTTCACGGCTACATAGCTAACCTCTATATGATATCTAACTGGACGGTCCAACAACATAATTTTTAATATAAAATACAATTTAAAAGTGTATTGTCGGATATTACAGTGTCATCACTAAAGTGTGAATGCTGTAAATTTGATATACTTGTATCAACTATGTTAAAAACTGCTTTTGTCTTTAGTTTGTTGTCCTTCCCCCGCACCTCCGATTAGCACGGTTGGCTACATACGGTGTGAAAGAAGTTCACCATACATACATCAATAAAGTTGTATGGACAACAGATTTTTCTGCAAGGCCACATCATTATCTGACGAAAATCGTATCAACAGACCCTCCACCGCCCAATATAGCCAAACAAACGTGCTAAAAAGAACGGAACTCACAACCAAATTTAGCTAATCAGATTCCCCGATTTCCTGGATTTTCCTGAAGGTGTTTCACGCAGTTTCAAGCGAAACGTTGTGTATCTAATTGCTAAATTTGGTCTTTGAGAATTGTTTTTCAACTTACCGGTTGACCTGAAACAATAATAATACTTGTACACATGACAATGTAAGTAGTGTGGTTATGTCAGGTAATGAGGGTTTATCGACACAGATTTAGTCAGATCATAATGTGAGTTGAACACGTAGGCTTTTGTGACCAGTATTATTCATAATAAATATGTTTGGGTTAGATCGCATTATTTACAAATGTGTAGCAAACCCTCCACCATCTGACACGGCCAATCAGTAAAAAATGTGTCACATTGGCAAAAGACAAATAGTTCACTACTTTTTAGCCCACCGGTGTGTTGAAGAGTGAATCCACAACATTTGCAATGCTTAACCCTAAATTATATTACGAATCATATTGGCTGCGAGCACCTAGCTCTTGCTGTATTAGACGTTTTCATACAAATGCAACTACATTCTGACATTTTTATTTAAATGTTTGGCAGTCACATTGCAATCGCATGGTTAGAGAAAGCTCTGGTAGAAGTGTTTTCACACTGATAAAACTTGTGTTGGACAGCCCGATACACACAGCCTAGGTACAAATCTGTAAGAGATATGTACCAAGATATGAGAATAGGTTTTCCACTTTTTTCTGGCAACAAAACAGGTGATAAGATGTTAAACCACCAAACTGAAACCTTTTACAAGGAATCATGACTGCATTAACCACAATACTTGTGGTCAGAATGCAAACAAAAAACACACTGAAAATATATGCATTGTCTTTGAAACTGATTGGTCCACACCAGAGACAGCTTCCTTTTGAGCCTAGTCTCAAAACGGTGTTGTGATTCCTTGTAAAAGGTTTCAGTTTGATGTTTTAACATCTTAACACCTATTTTGTTGCCACATAAAAGGGGAAAAGCCATTTTCAGATATGCATTTATTTATTTAGGAGTTGCACCCTCATTTAATTAATTTGTTTACATATGCGAGTGTTAATAATTATTTTCTCAATGCTGGGGCAACAAAACAGCACAAAAGTATTTCAATAACCTCTTCTTGGTTCTTTCGGTAAAGTCACGTGACTTTACCGAAAGAACCAAGAAGATGAATCCCTGCAGTCACAAAAGCTTTAAATCGAAAATTAATTCAATAACTTCAACATATTCTGGTCAATATGACGTCTTTAGCAATAATGAAACTCTTAAAAGATGATATTCCATTTTCAGACGTTGACATATGTATTGTACAATATCTTCTAACAGCATCAGTTGAAATTACTTACATACAACTGTTGGTAGAACCTGGTTCCGAATGGAAATCCGTACGGTGGTGAGAAGAACGGAGACACGTAGTCTGTGTCCCAAATATACGGACTTTGGTCGTACACATTTCTCCCATAATCGAAGAGCCTCTTCTCTGTTAAAATAAATCAATTACACTATTAAAGAAAGACTCTCACAGTGAATATAATCGTTACACATTAAAACTGACTTTTGGGTAATAGAAAAGTTCTTGCTTAGATGAAGGTGTCAATGGAAAGTGATCATATTTTTCAGATACCATTAAACCCTAGTTCATGATTTGGAAAGGTCACGATACGTGGTTGCAGAAGTCAGCATTGTCAGGTATTTATCCAATCAGTATCAGATGAGTATCTCTATATTGAATTATTTGACTTATACATGATATTGAATTAGTAAATATTCAATGGAAATTAAATGTGTATTATATGTATATGTTTACACCTGCTGATGCTGGATGTAATCTTCAGCGAAACGTCAATATACAATTGTCAAAAATATGCTTGCTTATTAAGATATCAGTTTGCTGTCAAACCAAAACAATTAGCATAATTACCCACGTGACAACTTTATTGAAATTGAATTATCGTGTGTTTTATTCTTCTCAAAAGCAGAGTTTGCATACCGAAGCACTGAATGCCATCTCCCTCATAGCCAGGCTTGCACGAGCAAGCGTATGAGCCAGGCGTGTTGGTACAGAGCCCAAGCGTTCCGTGGCAGGGAAAAGGTCCAACATTGCACTCATCAATGTCTGAACAAAACATACAATGTGCACACGGCCACAGTTACATATATGAAGATCACATTTTAGACTATATTTTCATGAAGCTCAGCAAGCTTAAAACATAAACATTTGATGTTATTCTCGGCATGACACAAACATTACTCAAACTTCACCATAACAACTAAAACCGAAATAATGTTAAGAGATTTGAAAGGTGCAGCTCTGTAGTTGCTTGCTTACAACACTGCTGGTAGAAGAGCCTCCCAAAAGACGCAGGTTTAGTTTAAAAAAAAGTTAGATATGTGGTAAAAAATATATACACATTTACAGCCTTTTCTTCAATCCATGGACAGGATGAAGGCCTCCCCACACTGTGTTAGTAATGGGGGTAGTTTGACCATACTTCACCACACAGCAATTTACAATCTGATGAAGGCGAGGCCCAAGACTGGTTCAGATATAAAATTCAGGTCACGGGGTTCATAGTGCAGTGCCCCAACCACTGGACCACCGGTTCAAACTATGTATGCAGTACCATGTATGGCTTAACGAGTAAATGGGCGATGTTCAATTGTTATAAGTATATTTTATAAGTATTATAAGTAGTTATAGATAAGTAGCATGGTATATGTATGTTTACCAGTTGCACAGCGAAGACCAGTCCATCCACTCGGACAAAGGCACAAGTAACTATTGACATCATCCAGACATGCGCTATTGTGCTGACACTCGTTTCCAATGCAGTCATCGATATCTATGGAGAAATCACAAACATCATTCATGTAAATGTCACTTTAACAGTCCAAGATTTACACTATTGACAGCTACATTAATCATACATTGCAAATGAAACACAAGACGTTGAGAGGGACAAAAAAGTATTACATACGGACTCACGCAGAACATAATACAGATTTCATGGCAGGATAGGGTAAGTGACTTGCTAAGTTTAGAATCACATCACCGACGAATGCACCATGCATGCACACCCGAGCGGTGTCACTGCAATCCATACAGTGTCTACCGCCTCCCTGTATTTGTTAAAAGAACTTAGCATTCAACTTTCACATGTTTCAAAACTGTTGATGTTTCCTCCTGCCTTACGAAAGAAGAATAGGTTTGGAATACAATGCTAAGAAAGCCTAGCAGACATAGTCACGAAAAGGAGTATGTGATTCACTCAAATTCACACTCTTGCTGACACATTTGATACTCATAGAAATCAATTAAAAAAACTAGAAATGGCCCACATTGTATTTTGTAGGATGACAACTATGGTCAACTTCCAAATAACCCACATTGATTTTGGAATGAGAAATCAGATCAATGTTACAAGATTATTTTCATTGGCATTCATTTTAATTGGAAATCATACCCATGCGTGAGGATTTTTAGTACAGAATTCTACCCCTTAAACTAAAGTCACTCAAACGTAATAATTTACAATACATTCAAATACTTATGAGTTCTAATCCCAATCTTAATTTGGAGCAGTCAGGGATCGTCTTTTCTCGACCTTCCTCAACAACAGCGGTCAACCTAAACATGGGCTCCTTCATATGAATGTGGAAATTCTACCACTGGCTCAGCGTAACCAAAAGAGATCGCACAATTCTACGGAGTGTCTTCTTGGTTGGCACTGCATGTTCTTCACCATGGCATGATGTGTCCGATGTTTCGCTATACATGCTAGCAGCTTCTTAAGAGAACTGAATACACGTTGGACATCATGCCAAGCAACACAAAGTACAACTGGAAAATACAACAGAGGTATACCGCACAATCACAAAAGCTATGAAATAGTATGATATAAACAAAGCCTAATGCTCATCTGAGTTGAAAACTCTTACATTTGACTTAATACAAAAGAATGTGGGAAATGAGCCTTACTGTATTGGCAGTATTGCCCTTTGTATCCCAGCACACAGGAACAGTTGTATCCCTTCAGAATGTCAATGCAGGTTGCACCATTTTGGCACTGTGCATTCACGCAGTCGTCGATGTCTAAACAATATCACAAGGCAGCGGTTATACACACAAAAGGTTAATACACTTTTTAAATGCATTGCGAAGCAAACGATTATTTAGTTAGAACCACTTTCATACGCAAATTCACACACAACATTCACTTAACATACCTTTAGACATATTTACTTCTCTCTCAATGCCATGACGTATTTATCAGTTGAGTTCAGTTTATATATGCGCTCTACTATTTTGCACATGTGTCTCATTTGAAAATATAGTACAGTACATTATGTAATATGCGTTTTGAAGTGCTTCATCATGTTTATTATCTGAACACATATGCACAAAAACACACTCTTCACGTTCATGTATAAGGATGGACGACGCGGCACACGAGAGTCGGCGGCGTGCGCACAACCACGTCCACGCCGCCGACTCTCGTGTGCCGCGTCGTCCATCCTTTTGGCCCCGCCCCCTCCCCCTCCCGATGCGTTCTACGTGGCACTTCGTGCCGTCTTTGAGCCCCGCCCCCCTCCCTCCCGATACGTTCCATTCATTGGCTACCACATTCTGATGAGCTCCCCCCCCTCTCCTCCCCCCTCAACTTGCTTTTAAGGGATTACATCTTGAATCTTTGCCTCACTTGATGCAGCAAATCTGGCTGTGACGGTCCCACCTGATGACGGAGACTTGTGTTGCCTCCGAAACGTCGTGATTTTTATTTTTATTTTATTTTACTTTTATTAATTTCAATTTTTTACCTACGTGACTTTACCGAAAAAACCTAAGAATATGAATCCTTGCAGTCACGAAAGCTTCAAAGCTGAAAATGTGCCCGTTAAACTTCAGCTTAAAGGCATTCAAGTGGCACGACAATCAATAGTAAGGGGTAGAAGTAAACTACCTATTCCTGGGTTGCCATTCAGTTATCGTAGTAGTGCATCTGCCTGCTCACACCACAGGACGGTGTTTGGGAGCTTGTTATGAACGAAGCACACGTACTGAGCTAAAGACACTTTTTTTCTTCTTCTTGGTTCTTTCGGTAAAGTCATGTAGAAGGGAAGTAATAAAATAATATAAAAAAACATAATAAAATAATTCTCACGACGTTTCGGCCACAATGCAAGCAGCCGTCCTCAGGTGAAGAATGAAACACCACCAAGCTTGGAGCGTATATTTAAGCTGGGTTGGAGGGGGGGAGGTGGGCAGAAGAGCGCCTTGACAAAAGAATTTGCATATCAATAGGAAATGCGTAGGAGGTGGGCGGGGGGTTTCAAAGTCATATTATGCCCGTGCATTATGCAGGATTAGCAGCATCAAAGGGAGGGGGATGGGGGTAGCATTAACAAAGGGAAGTAATGTTAATAGTATGTAGCTGCAGTTACTTAACAACCACGTAAAAAACTAAAGTATAAACTACATAGCATCATCAGGAGAGTGATGGAAGGAGACTTGCAGCGGAGCAAAGAATCCATTCCATGTGGAGAATACAAGATATATAGTCAATGCCAGTGAGTGGACTGTGGTCTGAAAGTCACCGTAAACGTGAACACAATCAGTTAAGCTCCGAAATGGTTTATTACGTCCTTCCTTTGATGCTGCTAATCCTGCATAATGCACGGGCATAATATGACTTTGAAACCCCCCACACACCTCCTACGCATTTCCCATAAATATGTAATGCGGGCGTGGACGACCTTCCGGAGGTGACGTCATGGGGGGAGGAGTTACGTCACGTGGGGGAGAGGGTTCAGGTCTATAAGGGGAGAAACCGGAAGCAGTAGGGGAGTGATCGGAGACTGGGAAAGTGTGAGGCCACGCAGGGCGGAGTGGGGAAGAGAGAGAGTGGCGAGATCGCCACACACACAGACCCCGAGGATCGGCACCGTCGGCCAACGGTGACCGACCCCGGGGCTGGAGGAGCAGCGAGGAGACTGCAGAGAGAGCAGCGGGTCTGCAAGGGTGGAGTTGGGCAGCGGGGGTCTGCATGACGAGACAGCAGCGGGTCTGCAAGGAGGGAAGTGGGCTACGTGAGCGACAGCAGCCTGGGGCTGCAGAGCGAAGAGTAAGGGGGAGTGCCGTGAGGGAAAAGAGATCGAACCCAAATAAAGGACACAGGACAGAGAGAAGCGTCCGAGTCTTTTATTACAAATATGCTAAATTCCTCTTGATATGCAAATTCTTTTGTCAAGGCGCTCTTCTGCCCACCTCCCCCCCTCCAACCCAGCTTAAATATACGCTCCAAGCTTGGTGGTGTTTCATTCTTCACCTGAGGACGGCTGCTTGCATTGTGGCCGAAACGTCGTGAGAATTATTTTATTATGTTTTTTTATATTATTTTATTACTTCCCTTCTACATGACTTTACCGAAAGAACCAAGAAGATGAATCCCTGCAGTCACGAAAGCTTTAAATCGAGACACTTTTTTTGTTATGCTCCATATGTATATGAGGGAATCTGAGATGTGATCGATCTAAAAGTTTTTCAGTGAAGACGAGCTTTGATCAGGACTCACTCGTAGTGCATGTGTTGCCCGACCACCCCTCGTCACATCTGCAGAAGAAGGCGTTGACCTGATCCACACAGGTGCCGTGGATGCACGGGTTGGAAGCACATTCATCCACAACTAAGGGAAGCAAATGGCAGTGTGAACACACAACTTGTGCAGTCTACACGATGGCACAGGGCCACATTGCACACTCCAGATAAACAACAATGAGACGCAAAATGTCATTCGTATTAACCACCGTTTCATGTCTGCTGAAAAGAAAAGATCTAAATAGGCAGTGTGAGGTTGTAGAATTGTATCTTACCTATAAACGTCACTTTTTGTCTGTCTGTCCGTCTGTCTGTCTGTCCATCTGTCTGTCTGCGTACGCTCGCTTGCGAGGGATTTGGCAGGAGGCACGTCCCGTGCCCCGCGGTGAACATAGGCATTTCCGATTTTTCGTCAGTCGCCTTTAAATCGGTTCGCTTATCGATTTAGTGCAATGCCTCTTTATTTATTTATTTACTATTGCTGGCCGGCACGTGACGAAGCACACCGTTGCGCATGCGCGAGATGCCGACCAGGGCAGTTGCCCCTGGCAACGGGCAGCAACGCCGTCGCTGCGGGGTGGACGCCATTTTTAATTCCCGTTAAAAATATGCACACGCATTAACACGCGACGCTGAGATAAATTCATCAAAGTTTCACGTCCCCCCCACCCCAATGTGTGCACTTACTATTATAGGGTCGATAGATAATAAAATTATAGCGATTAGACAGTATTTTTGTAGCGCGGGGGGGTGGGGGGTAGCGGCCCAGCCTCCAGCCTCGCCCAGGTGGGCAATCTCGGCGAGGCCGGAGGCTCTGCACGTTACTAGGCCTCGACACCCCACACTTGTCAGGCGAGGACTTTGTGCTATAAACTCGATATACCCAGCGTTGCTCGGGGGAAAAATACATTTAAAATCTTCTGAAAATTTTAAAACATAACATACCAATGAAAATACAAATGTGTAATTAAAATTTTAAACCCGACCGAGCCAAGAATCGATTCTCTGAATCGCGCAAAGGAATCGAAGGTTGTAGACTCATTTAGAATCGGCCGATTCCCATTTACTATAAGTTGGTTATAGTCGATATGAATTGCTACGAACGGGAAATATCCGGCGTTGACCGGGGCAAAAATATAATTAAAAACTCCTGAAAAGATTAAAACATAACATACCAATGAAAATAAAACTCTGTCATTCAAAATGTAAACCCCCAACACGCCAGGAATCGATTCTTTGAATCGCGCC